CCCCTGCAGCCTCTCTGCCCCTGCCTGCCCTGCTCCTCCTCGCCCTGCAGCCTCCGCACCCCCCGGCTGCCCTGACTCTGCGCCCCCCTGCTCCTCCTCGCCCTGCAGCCTCTGCACCCCCGTCTGCCCTGCCCCTGCGCCTGTCTGCCCCTGCAGCCTCTATGCCCCTCCTCGCCCTGCAGCCTCTGCACCCCCCCGCCTGCCCTGCTCCCCCGGCAGCCTCTGCCTGTCGGGGGCTTCGGATGCTCAGCAGCGACTGGGGCAGCGTGGGTCCCTGCAGCCCCGGCACACGCCGCACTCCTGCCCCGCGCCGCAGCTTCCTTCCTGCCGCGCGGGGTGAAGGGGCCACAGGAAGGGTCCCCCAGTGGCCGGGGAGTCCCCGCCCGCGCGGGAAGCCCGAGCCGCTGGCTGGGCCCGGCCTCCCCGTGGTCCTGCGGGCTCGGCTGGGGCACACGGTCCGCCCGGCCTCCGGGGGCAGCAGCGGTCCCTCCGCTGCCTTCTGTGGCTGTGCCCCCCCCTTTCCCCGCCCGAGCTCGCTACAATGTAGCCGGGCGGTTGGGCTGCACTGCGGACCTGGCGGGTTGTGCTGGGGCCGGGCGGACCCTGGCTTATGCTGCCTCCCTATTTCCCCGGACATGTCCGGCTTTTTGGCAATTCCCCCCGGACGGGGATTTGAGCACCAAAAAGCCGGATATGTCCGGGGAAATCCGGACGTATGGTAACCCTAAATAAGCAGGCTGGTAGCAGGGCCTGAGTGAGGGAAGATATCAGTGTCTTCAGGACCTAACTGGCTCCTACTACTTCAGTTGACTGCCTGTTCTCCTCAAGTGGGTTCAGGGAAGCAGCAGGAAACAGGAAGTTCCCTGAGAAGTTGGTGTTAATCAGTCCAGGCTCGTGGGGGTGCTAGAGAGGTACATAAGAGGTTCCTCCTCCTCTCTCTCCCTGCAGCTCCTGCTGCTTTCTGTTATTCCCTTTCACCATTTCTCCTGCCTGCCTGTCATGTCCAGGGCTGGAGCATGGAAAAGTGCAAGATATCCTCATCAACTGCTCTCCCTTCTCCTTGCTTGTTGACTTCTTGCTGTAAGTAATCTTGTTCCAAGAAAACTGCTAATTCTACAGCTGTCATACATGTCAGGGGGAAGCTGATGATTGAAGAATGTGGGCAACTCTGTGAAAGTGTTCAGAGACTCTTCTGATACATGTGATGGAGCTATTTAACTAAAATCAAAAGTGGGAGAGAGTATTTGTTAAAAATGTAGGTACGGAAAAAAACTATCATAACCTATTCTGTTACAAGTAGTATCTAAAGTACCTTTCCAGCTTGTTTTCACTCAATTTTTAGTGTTGCTGAGATTGAAAATTGACATCTTAACAGTTGGAAAAGTAAATCTTTCTCACTTAATGTACAAGCTTAATATTTGAGAATAACAGGAAAATAAAGCTTCAAATGAGCAATCTGCCTAGGTTGGAAACACCTTTTATAAAATATGAACTCAGAACCAATGGGCAAAACTAAGGTTACGTCTTCACTGTGCACCTGACAGCAGCACAGTAGAGCTCTAAATAAAACCGTCCCCAATGAGGGATAGTAGCTTTGTTGGCAGGAGAGCGTCTCCCGCTGACATAACGCTGTCCACACCGGCGCTTTTTGTCGGTAAAACTTTTGTCAGTCAGGAGTGTGTTTTTTCACACCCTCGACCAACAAAAGTTTTACCGACGAAAGTGCAGTGTAGATATAGCCTCAGATGCATCTAGCTACTACAGCCTGAAAACATGTTTGGTTAGTGTTAGTGATTGGACTAGCAATTTATTATGATTTGGTAGTGCTTTGTGCTCACTTTGCATAAGGATGAAATAACTGCCCAGGCTGCAAAGCTGTGGAGAATCAGGCCCAATGATTCCAAATTAAGCCATTGACCCAGCAATAACTTATATGCACATGAGCACTCGATGGAATTCAGAGGGATTACTCATATGCGTAAAGAAGTTAAGCGTGTGTTTGCAGGATTGGACCTATGACTGTGAAAAATACTTATTGTGAATCCCAAATCTATGGAAATCTGAAACACTTGTGAAATGTCAGGGGGAGAGAAGCATTCCATAAATGTGACCAAAACCTGTCCTTGTGTTTGAGCACAACCTTCACATTTGTGAAATTTCAAATGCTGAAATGTCCTTACAAAGAAGATCAAATAATTGGACAAAAGTGGGCAATTGTGCATGTGCCAAAATGGCTATATTGCAAATGTCTTTCAAAAAGGAACGTATGACATGCAACCCATACATTTTACAAGTACTTTTTTGAAAGATTGTGAAAACCGTTGGCTATTTTCACTCAGCCCTCCTGTCTTCAAACTCTGTTTCTCCAGTACCAGGCCTTGAATTGGGCCAACCTATGCAAGGTTGGCAACTGCATTTTTCCTTTTTTTGAGGTAACCTCTTACTTACTGTGTATATGTGTTACTGTGTCTGTGCCATCCCTGTTCTGCACTGCCCCAGCGGTGTGGCTGGGGCCATGCCCCAGGTCTCTGTGTACAGAGATGTTCTATGTGGGATTCTTTCCCAGTTGACAGCCTGAGAGCTTCATAGAATCATAGAATATCAGGGTTGGAAGGGACCTCAGGAGGTCATCTAGTCCAACCCCCTGCTCAAAGCAGGACCAATCCCCAGACAGATTTTTGCCCCAGATCCCTAAATGGCCCCCTCAAGGATTGAACTCTCAACCCTGGGTTTAGCAGGCCAACACTCAAACCTCTGAGCTATCCCTCCCCACCCCCGCTTGTCTGGCAGGGGGAGGCAGTGAAGAAGGATCAGCCCTGGCGTTATTCCCCTGCATACATACAGCACAAGGGCAGGCCGCAGTCCCAGTTAAAGTGGAGCCTGGCTCCTAACTCCCCTGCGGGGTGACTGAGCCAGCCAGGGCTGCACCACCACAGCTCCGGGCCGGTGGCTGCTGTGTGCAGACAGGAGCCAGGCTTGGGCAGGTACGTGGTTGGGAGCCGGGGTTCACGGGCAGCCAAGACCTCGCCTTAGAGCCCAGCAGGGCAGAAAACCCTGCAGCCAATCAACCAACCAGCCCAGCCCCCGAGCCGGGGGCCGGGCCGGGCCTTATTGGAAAAACCCGGGAGGTCCGGGAGCCGCCCCGTGGTTGCTGGTGGGGCTGGTACAGCCCCCGCCCCGAGCCCAGCGCCGGCCGGCAGGGGGCGCGCGCGGCTCCCCATGGCCGGGCCCCGCCTCCTGTTGCTAGTGGCAGGAGGTTTGTTTACTTCCGGGATGCCCCAGTGCCGGAGCCCGAGCCGCCATGGGGGAGGCGGAGGAGCCGGTGCCCGGTGAGTCTCCCGGGTCCCTGGGGGCGGGGGTGCCGCGGGCTGAGGGTGTCCCCCCGGCGGGGCAGGGTGAGCTGCCCCCACCCCCGAAACACGGGCAGCCTCCGTGTGAACAAAGTGCCGCGGGGGGAAGCGAACTCGCTGTTCCCGGGCCCCGGATTTCCCTTGCGGGCGGGGCTGCTCTGTCCCGTGCCCGGCGTGGCGCGCCCCTCTCCCGCCCAGGTGCCTGCGCCGCTGGACTTCAACGCCCCCCGCCTCCTCCTCCTCCTCCTCCATCCCGGCTTCCCGGGGCTGCGGTTTCTAAGTGTTTCAGCGGAAGGATCCTGACTCCCGTGCACGCGCTGCCCGGGGGCTGCGGAGAGGGTCCAATAATGACCGGTTCCCCCCCACCCGCCGGGGGGCTGCGGCGGGTGCGCCGGGGAGAGCCCGGCTCGGGCCCAGCTGTTCTCCCGCCCCGGGGCGTTCGGGGGTGGAACGTTGGTACATTTCTTTGGCCAACCTGCCGGCTGTTGTTAGAAGTTAGTGATACATCATTGATGAATGTTTGGTTTTTACCTTTTGCAATTTGGGCCATACATGTCCTCTTGAGCGCTAGTAAGAATTGCAGCTCCTCTTATAGATAGTTCATTTGCATCCTAACTAGTGCTAGGTTTATCGGTTTTCATGCTACAGATCATAAGATAACTGCTGGTTGAGGTTACATGCAAGTGCCCCCCGTATCATAGTAGCACACAATTATATGGATTTAGTCTTCTAATGCTTTTTTATGAGATGCATCACACTCACCTCTACTGAAGAAAGGTATCAGCCCAGGTGTACCATTGGGCCCTCCCAGTATGGTGTTCCTTATGTAATTCCATATAAAGCTGTTTATTCTATGGGTTTTTTTTCGCAGGCAAATAAAATAGTGTCTGTTGCAGAGCAAATGCTGTCATGTATAAAGTGTGTTTAGAAAAGAAAATAATAATTTAGGCAAATAAAATATTGTCCCCGGAAACTAATAAAACATTTTATCCTGGCAATTTTCCAGCTGGTAAAGAATATGGCTTAGTCTATGACATTTTATAATAATGTCAATTGGACCTAAAATATCTGAGTATTCTTACTATGTATTAAGAACATAAGAATGGCCATACTGTGTCAGACCAATGGTTCATCTAGCCCAGTATTCTGTCTTCTGACAGTGGACAATGCCAGGTGCCACAGAGGGAATGAACAGAACAGGTAATCATCAATTGATCCGTCCCCGGTTGCACATTCCCAGCTTCTGGCAAACAGAGGCTAGGCACACAGAGCATGGTTTTGCATTCCTGCCCATGCTGCCTATTAGCCATTGATGGACTTATTCTCCATGAACTCATCTAGTTATTTTTTGAACCCTGTTTTAGTATTACAAGCTGTATTGTTATCCTGGGGAATATTGTAAAGATATTTACTAAATTGCTAACTTTAGCATCGAATAAGTTTTCAAAGTATGTGTGTTTTATGATGTGATTACCTGATGCAGTGCAAATTGTGACTACCTCTGTCTTTTTTGTGTGTATTGAATTGAGAATACAGTAAAAGCTGTTTTATCTGACATATCACCAACCGGAAAGCTCTATAAACCAACATTTCTGATCTTTGTTGAAATTCCAGTTTATAGTCCAGTTGGTTTGGGGCCGGTAGGGGGTGGTTGGGGTGTGGGTGTGGAATGCAGGCTCTGGGAGGGAGTTTGGGTGTGGGAGGGGGCTCAGGGCAGCAGGTTGGGGCATGGAGAGGGTGCGGGATACCAGATCTGGGGAGCGCTCACCTCAGGTGCTCCCTGCAAGTGGCGACCTGTCCTGGCTGCTCCTAGGCAGAGGCATGGCAGGTGGCTCCGTGCACTGCCCACGCCCCGAGTGCTAGCTCCGCAGCTCCCATGGACTGGGAACCACAGCCAGTGGGAGCTACGGGGGTGGCGCGTGCGGGCAGAGACAGCATGTGGAGCCGTCTGCTGTGCCTCCTTCTAGGAGCAGCCGGGACAGGTCACCACTTGCAGGGAGCCGCCTGAGATGAGTGCCCCCCTGGATCTGGCACTCTGCACCCTCTCCCGCATCCCAACCCGCTGTCCCAAGCCCCCTTCTGCACCCAAACTCCCTCCCAGAGCCTGCGCCCCGCACTCCCGCTGCACCTAACTTCCTCCCTCTTAGTTAACCGGCATTTTTCGCTTATTGGCACCTCCTGTTCCCCCAACATGCCGGGGAAAAAAAAACCTTTTACGCGCTCGCGCGCTCTCTCTCTCTCTCTCTCTATTTTCAGCCATAGGGCTCTTAACAGAACAAAATATGCTACTATTCAGCTTGGCAAACACCTCTACCCTGGTATTAATGTCAAGGGAATCACTCTAAGCCAGGCGTGGCCAACCTGTGGCTTCTAAGCCACATGTGGCTCTTCAGAAGTTAACATGTGGCTCCTTGTATAGGCACCGACTCCGGGGCTGGAGCTACAGGTGCCAACTTTCCAATGTGCCGAGGAGTGCTCACTGCTCAACCCTGGCTCTGCCACAGGCCCTGCCCCCACTCCACCCCTTCCCACCCCCTCTCCTGAGCCTGCCACGTCCTCGCTCCTCCCCCTCTCTCCCCCAGAGCCTCCTGCACACCATGAAATGGCTGATCGGGAGGTGCCGGGAGGGAGGGGGAGGCGCTAATTGGCGGGCCTGCTGGTGGGTGGGAGGCGCTGGGAGTGGGAGGGCAGGGAGCTGATGTGGGGCTGCTGATGTATTACTGTGGCTCTTTGGCAATGTACATTGGTAAATTCTGGCTCCTTCTCAGGCTCAGTTGGCCATCCCTGCTCTAAGCATATCCAAATGACATGGAAAATGGACACCTCTCTGTAGGGGGACCAAGGCAAAAATTAAGACCACACTTTTGGTTAATATTTATTAGTTCAAGAGTAGCATTGTGGATATAGTAAAAAAAGATACTTTTAATAGATTCCAAGGCCAAAGGGACCATTGTGATCATCTCGTCTGACTTGTATAACACAGAGACAGATATGTTCCTAGAGCATATCTTTTAGAAAAACATTCAATCTTGATTTAAAAATGGCAAGTGATGGAGAGTCCACCAGGACCTTGGTGAATTGTTTCAATGGTTAATTACTCCCAATGTTAGGCAAATTCAGACTGGAATAAATTTAACTTCAACTTCCAACCATTAATCATGTTAATCCCTCTCTCTGCTAGATTGAAGAGCCCATTATAAAATGTTTGTTCCCCAGGTAGATACTTATCGAGTGTAATCAAATCACCCTTAGCCTTTTCTTTAAGTTAAACAGAGTGACCTCTTTGAGCCTATCACTATAAGGCATGATTTCTAATCCTTTAATCATTCTTGTGGTTCTTCTCAAAACCCTCTCCAGTTCATCAACATCCTTCTTGAATTGTGGGCACCAGAAAGGGACACAGTATTCCAGCACCAGTCAAACCAGTGCCAAATATAGAGGTAAAATAACCTCTCTGTTCCTACTCAAAATTCCCTTATTTATGCATTCCAAAATTGCATGAGTCGTTTTGGACACATCACCACCCTGAGAGCTCACATTCTGCTGGTTGTCCACCAGAACCCCCCACATCTTTTTCAGAGTCATTGCTTCCCAGGATAGAGCCCCCCATTCTGTACCTCTGGCCTACATTCTTTGTTCCTGGGTATATACATTAGTTGTATTAAAATGCATATTGTTTGCTTGCCCCCAGTTGACCAAGCACTCCAGATTGCTCAGAATCAGTGACCTGTCCTCTTCATTATTTACCACCCAATTTTTGTGTCATCTGTATATTTACCAGTGATGATTTTATGGTTTCTTCCAGGTCATGGATACAAATGTTAAATAGCACAAGGCCAAGAACCGATCCCTGTGGGACCCCACTAGAAACACACCCGCTCTATGATGATTCCTCATTTACAATCACATTTTGAGACCTAGTAGTTAGCCATTTTTAATCCATTTAATGTGTCTTGTTAATTTTATATCATTCTATTTTTTTAATCAAAATTTCGTGTGGTACCAAGTCAAATACCTTACAGAAATCTGTTACACCAAAACTATTTTTATCAACCAAATTTGTAATCTCATAAAGAAAATCTAAAATTAGTCTGACAGGATCTATTTTCCATAAACCCATATTGATTTGCATTAAGTATGTTACCCTCCTTATTTCTTTATTAGAGACCTGTATCAGCCATTTCACTATCGTGCCTGGGATTGATGTCATGTTGACAGGCCTATAATTATTCGGGTAATCCCGTTTATGTTTTGAAAAACTGACATATTAGCTTTCTTCCAGTCTTCTGGAACTTCCCCAGAGCTCCAAGATGTATTAAAAATCAACATTAACTGCTCAGCGAGCTCCTCAGCCAACTCTTGGATGCAAGTTATCTAGACCTGCTGTTTTAAAAATGTCTGACTTTAGTAGGTTCTGTCTAACATCCTCCAGAGATACTAGTGGAATGGGAAGAGTGTTATCATGATACGATGAAACTATATCATCTGTTTTTTCCTCAAATACAGAACAGAAATATTTATTGAACACTTCTGCTTTTTTTGCATTATTGGTAATTCTACTATTTCCATCTTGTAATGGACCAATACCATTGTCTGAATTCTTTTTGTTCCTAATATATTTTAAAAAACTCCTCCTTATTAGCCTTAACTGTGCAGGCCATAGATTTCTCCTTGTGTACCTTTGCTTCCCTTATCAGTTTTATGCAGTTCCTAACTTCTGATTTATATTTATTACCATCAGCTTCCCAGTTCTTCCATTTGTTTTATACTTAAAATTTTTTTTTATAGCTGTCTTCACTTCCTGTCTAAACCTGGTCATTTTTAAAATCAGTATGGCCTTCTTCCTCAATTGGTGGCTTTTTTGGGCCTCTCTTAAAGTGTTCTTAAATGATTCCCAATTATCATTCACATTTTTTTGATTAAATTCGTCCTCCCAATTGATTTGGCTCATAATTGTTTCCAACTTTGTGAAACTGGCCCTATTAAAGCACCAAGTATATATATTACTGGTCTGGACTTTATTCTGTTGGAACATTATAATTGTGATCAAGTCATGATCACTTGTATCTAAGCTACTATTACTTTTTAGTTCTGTGATCAGTTCCTCTTTATTCTATTTAGACAAAGTCTAATAAAGAATTCCCCCATGTTGGGTGCAACAGTTTTTGAATTAGGAAATTGTCATCTATAATTAAGGCTAAGATTATGTCATGGAAGTCACGTATTCTGTGATATTTTCTGCTTCTGCCCCGGGGCAGTTGGGGCTAAAGATGTCAGCTGGCAGGGGCCCTGGAGCTCTGAGCCGCTATGGGTGATGGGGGGGCCCCTGCAGATCCCAGCCGCCGGGTGGACGGGACTCAGAGCTCCAATCTGCTGCAGGTAATGGGGCCCCTGGAGCTTTGAGCTGACAGCGTCGGTGGGTACTGGACCCCCTTCCCCATTTTTTCATTCTCCTGCACTAATGCTAGTTTTCAGCAGAGAAAGCTATGAAAATCTCAAAGCTCTGTGGGCAGCAGATGCAGTTCTGGAATGTCTCCGGAACAAAATGATGTGTAAAATAAGCATATTCTTCCTAAGTGCAGGGAAAACTTCTTTAAGAAGACTTTAAATGTTGAGCATTAGAAATTGAAGCTGAGAAACAAAGTTGGGAATTTTGGGGCGAAATAGCACAATAGAAAGAAATGCAGCATTACAATCATTTATTAATTTTCAATGTAACCAATATCTCTAGAACTATATGACAGTATTTTACAGGAATAGTCATGAACATTACTGTATGTATAGGCATGAGGGGCTGTGTAGTTTTGTATGTATAGGGCTTTCACCTTTCAAAACCATGAAAATTCTTTTTGCGGAAGAATGGTGTAATGATTAAAGCACAGGACTCGCAGTTAGGAGATCTGAGTTCTGGTCCTGGTTCTGGCTTTGCCACAGTCTTCCTGCTTGATGTTGGGCAAATCCTTCAATTTAAATGTCCATTTCCCCACCTGTACTATGAGGATAACGTATTTATTTCAAATTCAAAGGTTATGGTAAGAGCTTAATTCATAAATGTTTGTAATGCATTTTGAGATACTCTAATATATTGCACTTTGAGAGTGCCTTCTGTTTATTTAAAAGGTTTAATAAAGCACACAATAAACTTGAGACTCTTTTTGCTCTTCGAAGTGGGAAGAATTGTGAGTGTTAGAAATAAAGATCTCCAGGGTTGGACTTTTTTTTTTATTTTTATTTTTTTTAAAGATCATAATTTTAAAATGGAAGTTGGTTTTGGCAACTCTTGTTTTTTAAGGGCTGAGAGTCTTGCTTTTAGGGGGCAATTTTTAGAGCAAATGTATCTTTTCAGATGAGTGAGGAAGAGTGGTCAGATTTGGAGCCTGTCAACCTTTTCAGTGTCTCTGTCTAATCCAATTTGGAAAACCTGTTTGAATTCAAGTGTAAACGTAAGTGAGTGTGGGGGGTTTTTTGTTTTTTTTTTTGGTCTCAACCTGCTTTCAGGATGAGCTTTTTGTGTTTTACTTTTTTGGGTCAATTTTTTCATTTTTTTGAAGCCCTCTTACATGTGGCAATATTGCTGTATTTCTTAGAGGATAGTGGTAAAGGACAAAAGAACTTGGTTATATTCTTAATGCAAAATATATCTACATCTGTATCTAATCTGTTAGCAAAGCCCATGAGACTAGGAAGGAATGGAGGGAAGAAAATGTGATCCTAAAAATGGTAGCCTTGAGGAAGCTGACTGAGAGAAACCACCAGAGCTTGAAGAGAATTAAAGAAATATAAAAAGACAGTGGAAAATAAAAAGGATGCTTGGATTAATGGGAAGTGACTATTTTGGATAAATGAGGTATAACTAATTTGCACTAATACTGAAACTGTCTTATTTATGTTTTAGAATCAGGTGCCGTTTTCACATTTGGAAAAAGCAAATTTGCAGAAAATATTCCTAGCAAGTTCTGGTTTAAAAATGACAAGCCTTTGTATATGTCATGTGGAGATGAACATACTGCTATTGTTACAGGTTAGTATCAACACAGTTTAAGGAACATGTTTTGTAATACACGGCTTGTAAATGTATGGTTTAGTTTCACGTCTGTGGTAGTATTATAAAGAAACAATCCTCCCTCCCCCTCCCCCCCCTTTGAATGAGTGCCTTCATTGCCATTGAAGTCACTGGGAATTAAATTCTGAGCACTCTAAACAGGAGATGCCTGGTGCCCCACGTGAGTGAGTCTTTAGTGCAAAATGACAGCATTGGATCAAAATAAGAACATAAGAATGGCCATACTGGGTCAGTCCAATGGTCCATCTAGCCTGGTATCCTGAGCAGATGTTTTCAGAGAACTATCCACAATGGCCCCAAGATCTCTTTCATGAGTGGTAACAACTGTTTTATACCCCCTTATTTTGTATGTATTGCTGGGGTTATGTTTTCCAATGTGCATTATTTTGCATTTATCAACATTGAATTTCATCTGCCATTTTGTTTCCCAGTCACCCGTTTAATGAGATCTCTTTGTAACTCTTTAGTCAATATTGGACTTAACTATCTTGAGTAATTTTGTATCCTCTGCAAACTTTGCCATCTCACTGTTTACCCCTTTTTCCAGATCAATTATGAATATATTGAACAGCACAGGTCCCAGTATGTATCCTTGGGGGACCAGCTGTTTATCTCTCTCTCCACCATGAAAACATACCATTTATTCCGACCCTTTGTTTCCTGACTTTTAACCAGTTACTGATCCGTGAGAGGACCTTCCCTGCAGCTATCAAAATGAATTTGATCAACTTGAAAAAGAACACTGAGACTGACAGTATCTAATAACTATTCTTAAATAGAGAAAGTTTATATAGTGGAAATAATCAGGACTTGAACTGAAAATGAACCTGGAGGGTTCTTATTTATTTGAGAAGCAATGCTGAATGCAACTAGCCAGGGCCGGGTCCAAGGTTTTTGCCGCCCCAAGCAGCCCCCCACCCAAAAAAGTCGCGATCTGCAGCACTTCGGCGGGAGGTCCTTCGCTCCGAGCAGGAGTGAGGGACCCTCCGCCAAATTGCCGCCGAATAGCTGGACGTGCCGCCCCCCTCCGGAGTGGCCGCCCCAAGCACCTGCTTGCTAAGCTGGTGTCTGGAGCCGGCCCTGCAACTAGCAAAGGTCAATAAGAATCCTCGTCTGAAATTTAATACTCAAGATGGTATATGTCTAAAATTAAAACTTTTTGGAGTTATAAATTATGTGTGAATGGAAAATAGCCCTAAAAATCAATCCCAAAACATTTTAATAAATGCTACTACTGTACAGTAAATTAAAACAACCACATAGAAAAAGTTTTGATGGAGCATAGTAAGCACACTTTTAATAAAAATCTCATTTTTGTTTCTTTGAAATGCTAGTAGCAGTAACCAATAAAGAATTAGAGTCCTGTTTGAACTAATGCAAAAGAGACTAGTTTAGTTGGTGATCCTGTCATTAAATATATTGGCAGTTCATCTCATATAAATGCCAGCATTAAAAAAAAATAGGAAATGGAATTTTGATACAAAAAGTTCATGATGTATTTTTAGAGTGGATTTTTATTCTGAGGTAGAATTCTCCCCATCTGCCACCCAAAGGGTAGGTCTATACTTACCTCCAGGTCCGGCGGTAAGCAATCGATCTTCTGGGATTGATCCTGGAAGTGCTCGCTGTCGACGCCGGTACTCCAGCTCGGCGAGAGGAGTACGCGGCATCGACGGGGGAGCCTGCCTGCCGCGTCTGGACCCGCGGTAAGTTCGAACTAAGGTACTTCGACTTCAGCTACGTTATTAACGTAGCTGAAGTTGCGTACCTTTGTTCGAAGTGGGGGGGGGGGGTTAGTGTGGACCAGGCCTAAGACATTTGAAATAGGTGTTTCCCCCTTGTTACTTCTGTGTTGCTTAAATGTTTGCTTGTTATATAGGTGTTTGAGGGTATCCGGTCTGTCCCCATGCTAGGCTGCTTATAGTTTGCATGTGGGGAAATTGGGATGTGTGAAAAACAAGTGTTTTAACCATGAAAATGCTTTTATGCCTTTATAACAGACTGCAAAATGTGTTGTAGTGAAAAACCAAAGTGTTTAGTGCACAGCAGGGTTTTTCCAGTCTAACTTCAGAGAAAGTGGTTCTGTGATTTAATTATACTTGACCAAAACTTCAAAGTATTTTTTTCAGGTTGTGGAAGTTTTATTAAATAGTTTCTATTTACCACTTAACATTCCTGATAAACTAAACTTTTATTTTTATTCTTCTCTAACTTTATTGGCAAGACATTACATTAGGAAAGAGTGGCCATTACCAAAAAACCAACCCTTCCCAACAGTTGTTTTTGGGGTTGTGTGTTAAGAATTATGTAGGTTTTAAAACTGTACAATGATGTTAAAAATCTTTTAAAAACTAAATGTTTGTATTATAGAATAAGTGCTTTTGCTGTGGTATTTCAAAAATGAAAACTAACCGACTTATGCACTTTGAAATAGAGTCAGAGTTTCTGTAAACCCAAACTCAAAGCCTTCACTGGGGAACCAGATTGCTGAAGCACAAAACAGCTACAAGTTAGGTGGGTGAACATGCGGATTCAGGCAGCTGAAAAGTCAGTTGACATGGCCATTCTCTGATGAACTCTCAGCTGTCAGAGCTTTATGAAGCTTGAGCAGGAGTGCACTCTGCTCCTCCTATTGGGAAGTACTGTGAATGAGTTGTGGAAGCACTGCCTTTTCCTCATCAGAGTGAACATCTTCTGGAGGGTATGTCTACACAGTAGCTAGAAGGTGTGATTTGCAGCTTGGATAAACATTCACTAGCTCTGCTTGAGCCAGCATGCTAAAAATAGCACTGTGGCTGCGGTGGCAAGGGTAACAGCTTGGTCTAGCCACCTGATTACAGTCCTCCCTGACCTCTGGATATGTACTCATGCAGCTAGCAAGAACCACTGTCGGTGCCATCAGAGCCACGCTGCTATTCTAAGCATGCTAGTTCCAGCAGAACTTGTACATGTATGTCCTCTTGAGAGTGGTGTAAACATACCCTCCCAGCTGCTGTGTAGACATACCCTCGTATACAAGGACCTTTGCTAGAGCAGGTATTGTAATTTACACCTTGCTATGCCAACTTAGCTAAATTTGGTCCATGGTATTACACAAGATCACCATTAAAAAAAATAAATGGTATAAGCGCTGAGCAAACAGTCAAATGCAGCTGTTTGATCTTCAGATGTGTCTGAAAAAGATGTTAGGTTTTTCAAATTGTTGATCTGCTACTCTTCTACCCTCAATCTCTGGATCTCCTGTGTGAAATCACTTGTGTATGTGTAATGACGGAGCCCATAGAGTTCATCAAAAACTCAGTATCTACTAATTTCTTGAAAAATGTGATGCTGGCATTCCTTCTTAGCTAAGTTTTGTAGTACAGCTTTTACATTGTAGGCTTACAGAACTGTCTGAATGTATGAGGTTTTTCATGTGTCCTTTTGGTAAATATTTACATCCAGATGCTAAATCTAATTCACAGGAGAACACACTCTTCTGGGAACAAGGCATACGGCAGACACATGTTCAAGAAGAAAACCCATACAATATGTGGCCATATTTATAGAAGTTAAATACAGACAATGTTCTGCAGAAGTTCAAATTTGGAAAATCCATCCCACAGGCCTAATTGTGCACATACATCTGTAGAAATCACAGGGAAAATTTTGACACACACAGAAAACCAAAACCAAACAAAACAAACAACCCTCCATCCCCAAACAACCTCTTCCGGTGCTTTAATAGAGCCAAAATCTGGACATTGTATAAAATATACAAAATGCAGGCATGTAAATATGGAAGAAGTATATGCACCCTATTCTGACTTTCATCAGTCACTTGCACAGATAATTCTAGATAGGAAAATGAGTAATCTGGTTGTTAATGTGTCCATACTGTTGCTGTGTAAATAGATGCAGAGAGACCATGTTTCCTGATCCATAGGTCCTGTCCAGGAATACTTCTCCATTTTGTGTCATGGAGGTTCTGTGGAACAGCCTATCAATAGTGTATGTAGGGGAAGCCATAACTGGAATAAACAACTTCTGCTTTATGTGCCCTCTTCTGAGTGCAGGTTTTCTGGCAGATCTGTGTGTACAGTGCCCTGTTAAAAATTTGGCTGATATTACTGAAGAGATCTGCCAAAAAAAAAAAAAATCATCAGAAGTGTAGAATATGGCCTCAAGAATGTATTCACAACTGCCAATTCGTCTCAATTGTTCACATCCTAAAAAGTGTCTGAGACTGTTTTGTTATGGATGACAAAGTAAACTGTTATGGATAACAAAGCAAACTGTTTTGTTATGGAGAAGGCTGTTTTTTGGGGTTTTTTTTAAGCCATTCTCACTACTAACCGTGGCTGACCAACTACAGAGCAAGCCTGCGATGTTAATTTGTAGAAAAAATTCAATTCCATCCATGTGTATTGTAATTGACTATATTTTTGAAAATAGTCTGTTAGTTAAATATTAAATAGTGTTAAACAATTTCATTGTAAAATAAAGAATATTTAACTTCTCTCATTTTCCTTATAAAAAGCTTTAATAATTAATGTATTATATGCCATGAGTTGATGGCTATCCTTAATTATGGTTTGCTCTAAAGTTGCTATATATTCAAACACTTTTATGCGTTCCCACTGATGTCTTTATTTTGCAGGAAATGGTAAACTTTACATGTTTGGCAGCAATAACTGGGGCCAGTTAGGACTAGGAACAAAGAATACTATCAACAAGCCAACTTGTGTAAAAGGTTTGTCTTATTTTCTTCTTTGGCTTTTTGATAGATGGCTTGAATGAAAAAGTGATTTATAGTATCAATTTCCAAATTAAATACAAGGTCCCTATTTGATCTTCTGTCACCTCACAATTCTAGGTCTTGTGGAGTTTGAGGACTACTCAAGACTCACAGAATCCAATCTTTTTGGATACCCATTAAGAATTCCCATTCAGTGTCATCTCTGTTTCTGTCCAACTTCATTCCATATGCAGGGAAGTTATTGGATCTCTGAAGTGCTGTTTTGTGCTTAGACACCAAGAGAAAGTATCCTTATATGTATGCATTGTTGTTGTAGCTGTGTTGGTCCCAAGATATTAGAGGGACAAGGCGAGTGAGGTAATATTTTTCATGGGATCAACTTCTGTTGGTGAGAGAGGCAAGCTTTTGACCTTACACAGAGCTCTTCGTGAGGTCTGAAGTTGGTCCAATAAAATATATTACCTCACCCACGTTGTATCTCTAATATCATTATGTGTAACCTTATGCCAATGCAACCCCTGGCAGAGAGACCGTCTCACTATCCATCCTACTACTTTTTGAGCAAATATTAGAAATACCTGAAGGTGTTCCAAAAAAGCAGAGCCATTAATGGATTCACCCACATCCACTACACACATCATTAAATAAAGAAGGAATGAAATAGTACAGATTATGGAATCTCCATTACAAACTCTTACAGTTTCTCCCAGCCAGCTCTACCTTTTCTAACAAATCAATAATTTTTTCCCCGTCAAAAAATTTATTCTCTCAGTTCACCCCATTATTATCAGTACATCATTCTCAACCATCAAATGAATTAACTCCCTTCCTCTCTGTCATCAGATTTGTTCAGTTGCCCGTCATCAAATACAAATTTATTCAGCCTGTTCAAACCCTTTTCATCAAGGAATCAATTAGTTCTGCCCCAAACATCTTTCCAGAGCCTTTCGCTGCTTCTGTCCTCTCCTTCTACCTGTTTTGGGCTGATGACAGAGGGGGGAGCAGGATCACTGGGATCTTCACCTCCTCGGTCAACAGCCATGTGAGGATACGCAGTTGATTCTTGCCTCGGCTACGATAGAGTGGGAGCTCTCCCTTTGCTTCTGCTCTCAGACTATGGCAGGCAATGGAGAGAGTGAGGAGATCCCAGAACAGAGCTCCTTCTTTCAGGAAGGGGGGAGGGCTGGGAGTAGGGCTGGACAGGACAGCTTTTTCACTCTCCTTGGTAGTGGCCAGCTGTGGAAAGGACAGATGGTGACTCCAAGCTGGTGATAGTTGGCTGTGGAATGGGATGGCAGCAATTCCCTGCTCAAGTCCTGCTTGGGGCTAATTAGCAGTAGTAGCATGTTGCTGTTGCAATCCCTTCTTGGGCTTGCCCAGGAGCAGATGATCGTTGCGGGGCAGTGAGGGTAAACTCTATCAGTAATGCCAAAACTGCCAGCTATGTTATGCATCATGCATCTGATGAAGTGGGTTCTATCCCACAAAAGCTTATGCTCAAATAAATGTGTTAGTCTCTAAGGTGCCACAAGGACTCCTCGTTGTTTTAGCTATGTTACAGGCACTGTGTAGCAGGGCTGATATACTGTGAGGTGCCATACACCTGGTTGCCATGGGGATACTCCTGGCCTTACAGGCTATAGATGGCACACAGCAGAGGGAGGAGGTACATATGGGGAGAATGCAGGCTTCTCAAGAGCTAATTCAGATAATCGCCATACCTAAAAGAGGCAGAATGTAGGGTTCTCTGCATATGCTCTGTGATCCCACAGTACTTCCATTTTTTTCCAGGTGCAGCAGCAAGTAAAAGGGCTCGGAAGAGCATGGCAACTTCTGAGTACAGTAGAACCTCAGAGTTACGTGCACCTCGGGAATGGAGGTTGTTTGTAACTCTGAAATGTTCATAATTCTGAACAAAACATTATGATTGTTCTTTCAAAATTTTACAAGTGAACATCGACTTAATACAGCTTTGAAACTTTACTAGGCAGATGAAAATGCTGCTTTCCCTTTTTTATTAGTAGTTTACGTTGAACACAGTACTGTACTGTATTTGCATTTTTTTTGGTCTCTGCTGTTGCCTGATTGTGTACTCCCAGTTCAAAATGAGGTTGTGTGGTTGACTGGTCAGTTTGTAACTCTGGTGTTTGTAACTCTGAGGTTCTACTGTATGGTGTTGGTGGGTGTTGGGCAGGATGGAAAAGGGGTCAGAACAGGGAGGATTTGTGTTTGAGTGGGACAGTTCTAAGTCTGGGTGGCTGGTGGGAGAGGGTTCCGAGTTGAGGGGGTAAGTCTGAGCTGTGGAGTGACTGGGTAGGAAGTGGAAGGGCTGTCAGTCTGGCAGGATGGGGATGTTTTGGAGCTGGTGGAGGTTGGTTTGTGGGGAGCTTGAGAAGGGTCTGAAAAAGGAGAGAGATGCCCTAGGTTGGCAGCATTGAGGGCTGGTGGAAATCAAATCAGTTTGTGAATGAGTATGGGTGTATTGCTAGTGGGTGTGTGGATGTGGTAGAGAGAAACAGTAAGAAGGATAGTAGGGTAAGTGATAAATAGATTGTAGGGACAGAAATTGGGAAGTAGAAAGAAGGTGAGAGGTCACATAGGGATAAATATTTTTCTCTCTTTCTGAAATGGGGAGGAGTTACTAAAGGAGCGTGGATGCCCCTTTTTCTTTCCTCTTTTCTACCAAAACACTTCCCCATGACAAGCCCCTTCCCCCACACAGGGTCCAGTTTTTCACTTCAAAAGCACTAGGGAGGGATAGAGGAGGAATGCGGGTGTGCGCACGTAGATGGTGGTGGGTGTAGAGGGAGGTAGCTACCTGAAGCCACACTGCTTATTCTGGGCACTAGCCCACAGTATGCTTGCTACTAACAGCTGGTGATTACACTGATTAATGTGACCAGTTGAGAGGGTGATGTAGAACGTGACAGCCAGGGGGAGAGAAGAACAATAGAGAATTAATATGTGGGGGTGAAAAGGTAGGGTAGTAGGAGGCAACAGAATTGGATGATTATAAGGACACAAAATGGCAGGAGAAGGAAAATAGTGGGTTAGTAACATCATTTAAGTACTGAAAATTGGAGCAAGTGCCACCCATATCGTCACCAGTTCAACTTACTGCAGTCTACGGAGGGTTACCTTACCATGGTAAGATGTGGTATCTGGTTGACTGTGGTATATTAGCGCTCATGCAGCTAATATGAATGACAGCTACAAACATTTGGGGAATCTTTCTATTTTTGTTTACCATGGGGTGATTTTGATTGACACATTCTTATGAAATAAAGAGAAATGTTAGGTTAGAGTGTTCAGTTTGTATTGTAACTTTACCTCCTGTTGGTAAAAATATGAAAAGAGCAGATGGCTATATGCAGATTGCAAAGTGTTGTTTAATAAATGTAACTATTAACTTGTTTGTAAACTCATTCTCTGACTTTAATTCATAGCTTTAAAACCAGAAAAAGTTAAACTTGCTGCTTGCGGGAGAAACCACACTTTAGTTTACACAGGTATGTAATCTACATTATTTACATACTAGGGAAATATTTAAGGCAAAATTCTGCCCTTGGTTTCATGCATAGTTCTAATTCTATAATGGGAGCCCCCTATGAGCATCTAGGGGGAAAATGTGGCAGTGAAAATTCAACCACTTGTCATGCATTCTGTGCTCTGAATTCCTGAAATAGCTTTTCCATGCCATGGTGTTTATATAGGAATTGTATATAGGAATTTGCAAACAATAGCCAGCTTGAAGAATTTCCTCCTGCCCGATTTTGATGTGAGGGTAACACTTTTGTATAACTTCAGAAAAGGTCTGGATATACAGCACATAACCTTTAGAACCCTCTTCTAGTCTTCCTAAAAGGCAATATGCTCTGTCTCCCACTCTTGGGTTTGAGAAATTGGTTTGCTAAGCTTTAGAAGTTGGCACTTTCATTTTACAGAGATAATATGCAAGGATTGATATGTTTTTAAAATTTGTAGAAAGGAACTACCCTCTATATGGCACCAATCTTTGGAGCCTACAGTGATATGAAGAGAGTGGTTGATTTACTAAGGTTTTAATACATGTGTGAACTCAAGCTATAGTAAATTATTCTTACAATATAACAGAACACTTTAATAAGGATTGACTATATCAAATTGAACAAAGTACAGATTTACAACTTGAAACAGGTATTGTGGCTGGATAATTTTTATGACCACCATTAACATTTGTCGTTATACACGTTAAAATAACATTAAGGGTAATTAAAATTCATGCTTCAGGCACAAGCTAATTAACCCTGGGTTAAGAAAGAAATTCTTTCCCCTACCCTTTTTATGGTGGTGTACACCTGGAAGCATCTATTTATCTATCTTGGGTACTTATATGGTCCCATCACCATAGTATCTGAGTAACGCACAAACTTTAATGTATTTATCTATCACAGCACCCCTGTGAGATAGGGAAGTGCTGTTATCTCCGTTTGACATCTGGGGAATTGAGACACTGAGAGGCTAAGTGACTTGCCCAAGGTGTCACAGGAAGTTGTGGTAGAGCAGGGAATTGAACCTATGCCTCAAGTCCTAGCCTAGTGCCCTAACCACTAGACCATCCTCCCTCTTTTGGAGCTTCTTTGCCTTCTTCTGAAGTATAAGGTGCTGTTGACGTCCAGTGGGAAGATACTGAACTAGATGGACTATTGGTTCAGACTGGTATGACAGATCCTATATACTATAACTGTTTTGAGATGTATTTGAAAGAAATGAGAACTGAAATCTAAAACCTTTTTGTTACAATTATCATTTGATAAAGTGTTAGAACATGTACAGTAATAGTGTACATGAGATTTTGGTTTTTTTGAAATTTACAATATAGAAAAAATTTGCAACACTAGAAGTACGATACATACTGTAGCTACAATGACTATAGTAATTGATTAAAAGTGCAGTGTACGAGCTAAGTATTATTAAAGCAAGGATATATGTATACAGTATTTTTTCCAAGGTAGTGGTGTAATGAGAGATGGAACCTTTTACCTCTAGGTTACCTCCCCACCTCCTTCAGATCCACCTTCAAGATTCTCTTCTGCTGTGATGCTTACCAGAAATCAGCCAGATTGGCTAAGTCAGAAACAAAATCAATGGGACTTGTGTTCCTAAGACACTTGGGTGCTTTTGAAAATCCCACGTATGCGTACCTAAATATGGGTTTAGGAACCTAACATTAAGGTCCAGATTTTTAAGAATTTTGGTCTCTGAATGCATAACAATTCATAATAACAAAAGAAAAAGCCTCGCAAACCCCATCACCTATTACTTTTAAATGATTCAGATCCAGGGTAAAGCAATTAAAGAAAACATTTATTTAAAAAAAAAATAATAAATTGGATTGAATATTTGTACAACTAATTTGAAGAATTGTGCTATTGTAACTTTACATTTATAATGAACTAAATTAAGCTTTTTAAACAAAATCCCACTACTAGTGGGCTCTCATTTGAATTTTCAAAACTGCTATACACACACACACAAAAAAACCCTGACACAAATTTGAAAAGGCTTTGATCCTGCAAATCCTTAAGTGGGTATATTACTTTGCTTTATGAATGGTCCCACTGACTTCAGTTTGACTACTCATATACTTAAAGTTAAGCACAGGCATAAACGTTGCAACATCAGGGGCTAAAACTGTATTTTTAATAACTTGTCTTAGTGGCATAAAATCTTTGTCACTTCAAGACAAAATTGCTACATTGTTAACCCTGGCACAAGTTATTTAGTCTTTCAGTACATTAACGGTATTATTGTGAACTGTTATGTGCACAGAGATCAAAATTCTTAAAAAGTAGGAACCTAGTATTACATGTAGGCACACATGTGTGGGATTTTCTAAAGCACCGAAGTGCTTTAGGAGCTCAAGTCATGTTGACTTCAAACAGCAAACCCCGATGGATGAGTACAGCCTGGTAAAACATTTCAGCTGTCTTGTCTTGAGGAGGTTCAACATATTGGAAGAGGGTGTCTGGAAATATAGCCTGGGCTATCTGCTTGTCCATTCTGTGGTGTTCTTCCACTAAAAGTGTTAGTGAGGCCCTGGGCTAAACTCTTTCATCACAGATGAGCATTTTAAATATTAAACTCTTTAGTAGAAGAAATATAAAATCTGAAATTATTTTAATTAGGAAGCTAAAGAAACAAGTACAAAACATCAGCTTTGCCAATTTAAAACTAGATTGAGAAAAAAAATACAGAGCTAGCAACAAATAAATAAAAATCTGATTGAAATAATAGTACTTAGGTCTTATAGCACTTTTCATCAGTAGATGTCAAAGCACTTTAGAAGGAGGTCAGTATAAAAAAAATTAAGAATGATTTCACTAAAAAGATTTTTAAATTAAGATATTATTTTTATCTACCCTGTTCAAAACCATCAAGCTATGTACATAACTAATTAGGTGATTTTAATATTGTTACCCTGGCCATGCCTCCCCATTTGCCTCCAGTTTTCTCACACTTGCTTATTATGTTTTGTCTTAAAGTAGCTTGTAAACTATTGAGGCAAAGACAGTGTCTTTCTATGTGTGCACATAGTACCTACTACAATGGGCCCCCAAGACTGGAGTGTTTTGTTGTTATCACAACGTAAATTAATAAGAAACCAGTCATACAACTTAATTCATTAACTAAATAGCATATATTTTGATAGCATATATTTTCCCAGTTATTTGTAAATGCACTGACCAGTAGTCCATGGCTGTATACCAAGTGATATGTTAAACATCTTTGTAATGCTGCTCCTATATACAAACATAATTTTATTACATTTTAAAATCCAATAAAAATTGCTTAGGTGAAGTTCAGCTGTAAGTAGAGTCCAACATAAAGCCTGTGCACCACTTAAGCCCTTGAAATAGAGTTTATCTGGGACTTAAGGGTGGCAAAGGTCTTGAATAGCTCTCTGCATAAAGCTGAATTTTACCTGTAGTGATTCGTAGTCTTCAGAGGAACTTGGCCCTCTGCAAAATTAGGGTAAAAAATGTATCTTGTATTACTCAGTTGGAATATTCCTTGGGATTCTTGTGTAACACCTGAGTTACTTTCATATACTTTGTAACGTCTGAGTTTTTCAGTTTTTTTCAGAGCAGATTAGATTCTCCTGATATCCTTACTGTGTTTTACATTTTTAATGTAGTGTGTCTTGAGGGAGAACTAAATTATAAATAATCTTTTTTTTTTTAACCTTTATGTACAAGCAACAGTCCAACTGGAAAATGTAAAACTCTTTTTATGTACATATGTGATAGAGAAACAAAATCTGATGTACCAGAATTGAAGAAAACAATCAGTGACAAACTTCACCCTAATTTTAGCTAGTTACCAAAAGGCTCTTTTTTTTAGTTTTCCATTCATCTATAAGTTGCCTTTGATAACCTGGACTTTTCAGCTATTACTCAGCCTGCAGACATTTTTAAGTCAAGGCTCTTCAAAGGTGATTTTATGTCTCTTGAGCTTTAAAAGAACTAGAGAGTATGTAGAGTTCCTTCACTTTTGACATCTGTCCCCAAGCTGAGGGAAAACCCAGCCTTCTCTGGATGCATGTGTATTCTAAAATGGAAAGGAAGACTGTTAGAACTTCCCCGTCCAAAAGTGCCCAGGAAAGCTTCCTCGGGACATACAGCAGCAACTCATAATATCAGTGTTAAAATATTTTAGGACAGCTTAGCACAGCTTTTTTTGCAATACTTTTTCTGTAGGAAGAAATGGAGCTCAAACTTTCTGATTTGCTGTCACTTACTCTACATATTACATGTGCTTTTCTATGTGCAGAACGAGGACATGTATATGCTGCTGGAGGTAACAGTGAAGGGCAGTTGGGATTAGGTGACACAGAGGAAAGAAGCACGTTTCATCTCATTCGTTTTTTTACCAACCAGTACAAGATCAAACAGCTGGCAGCTGGATCTTACACATCAGCAGCACTAACTGGTGAGAGCAACAGCTAATAACAAATGCCTATACCGTGAAAAGGTAAAAAAACATGTTAACAACATAGTTTATCCTTTGACAGCCCCATTGACCCTGACGGAAGCCTTACACCATGATCATTTGCTTTTCAAAAGCAGTAATTAGCAGTGGAGACTTGATAAGTCTGTGTGGTGGTAGAAAGGCTTTCAGCAATCTGATGCTAGGCCCCTTTTCTCCCTTTGCAATCTCATTCATGTCTCTTTCACAAATCCTACCTTATAGCAGCCAGTAAGAGGTGTGCTAGGCTATTTTCCTTTCTACCAATGGCTAAGGCTCTCCTCGGATTTGCGAAGCGGCCCTGTGCAGTTTTAGTTCCAAATACTGCCCACCCTGCAGCTAGAGAGGTTTTGTGCAGAGCTAGCTTCCCACAACTTGGCATTGCTGTACAGAGAAGGCTGGATGGTGGCTGAAGATTATTGTATCGTTCCTTTGCCTCAGCCACTCCTTATTGCTGACATGGGTCTCTGTGCAGATGAGACTGTGTCTGAGACAAATAGGAGAACAGCTACTCTAGTCAGCATGAGGGAGACCGAATGAAGTTGGGGTGAGTGGGAGAGGGATAGGAGAAGAAGAGAATCAGTGGGGTGAGTGGAAAAGCTGGGATAGAGAATCAATTTGGAGGAAGGAGAAATGGGAATCCTATTGAGGAAGCAAGTGGAGACATGCCATCCTGAAGTTACTAATAGGATAGGAATAAGCCTAACATCCATAACATTCCATAGACCACCAGCAACTTGGGAGTCTGACATCCTCCAGTCGTATTGCTTACTGGAGAAACATGTCTGGAAATAAATATTAAATGTTGCCATCTCTGGTCTTATACTACCTGGTCACTAAATATTCCATGGCACATTTCAGAAGATTGTGAGGGATGCGATGCCATGGTATCCCTGGCCCCATGCTTTTGCTATGTTTGGAGTGCCGGTTGATAGCTGTCCTCATCCTTCAGCAATGGCTATGTTTTAGCAGTGTCATATAGAGTGTGTGAACTGCCTCTGAATGGAAGCCACAAGTAAATGTAAATATTATTGTTAGCCCAGCTTTGGTTTTAAATCTGACTTTCTGCCATTTTATTTTAGAGGATGGACAGCTTTTCGTGTGGGGTGACAATTCTGAAGGTCAGATTGGCCTGGCTGGTGAAACCAGTGTGTGTGTACCTTGGCAAGTGGATGTTGGAAAGCCTGTTTCCTGGGTCTCCTGTGGATATTACCATTCTGCTTTGGTAACAAGTAAGATGATCTACTGTGTAATAGAGCTAACTAAACCAATGGGCCTCAAATTGTGGTCCTTATTTTCATCTGCTTAATTGCATTAAAAATAGCTAACGACACATTAAATACTTCCCTAATGATATATGCCATGGGTACATTATATGATCACAAATACAAAGGGAAATGGTCTGTACACTTCTGAATTAGAGGTAAGTCTTGCAGGAACAATCTCTCTAAAATTTGCTCCATGCTATGAAATGATTTGGGAAACTGATGTATTCTGTTCATGATTCTTTATTGTAACTGAATTAATACTATAATGGGAAAACAAATTACAATGAGGGTTAGTGTGTGGACAGTGTTATGGAAAAGGGCATAATACTGAATGAATGTCTTATCACACTGATTTTATTTTAGTGAGACATATGACAAATACCTTAGAATCATAGAATATCAGGGTTGGAAGGGACCTCAGGAGGTCATTTGTCCAACCCCCTGCTCAAAGCAGGACCAATCCCCAGACAGATTTTTGCCCCAGATCCCTATATGGCCCCCTCAAGGATTGAACTCCCAACCCTGGGTTTAACAGGCCAATGCTCAAACCACTGAGCTATCCCCTTAGGTGAATTCGATTTCTATTTTGTTCAATAATCCAGCATCTCTGAGACTATTCATATTTGCTCATGTGTACTGACCCTCTTCTCTTCTGCCTTTCCCTCCCTTCTCCAAAAAATGCAAATCTCGAATGGGCACCTATCACATTTTTCAGGAAAATGCATCTTTCCTGCTAATTCGCTGCCTTAATTGTCAAGGTTTGATGCTATAAATTTGAATTTCTGGGGCAAACTGAACATATGCTGTATAAAGTAGAAATGTCTTCAGGGAATGAGTGCTATGTATGGCTGTTTACAGCTGTACAATAAAAAAAAGTTAAATATTTTTAGAAAGCATGCTGAAAATAGACATCTGGAATTTTGTCAAAGCAGCATCAAAAGATTTAACAGGGAGCATAATGTATCAAAAGCAATAATCCACCCATGAAAACACATAAGCTTGCCGAGAATTATGAAGATATGTGCAGCTCAAAGGAGGCAAAGAAGGGAGGAATCTGCAAAGACTGTTAAGATCTGTGTTTCCTTCAGGGAAATAATGACAGTTAATATACAGATATTTTTTACTGTGCAGGATTTGGGCTAGGAGGCACTCTGACATTTGTATAGCTCATTTCCCCTCTCCTCTCCCCTCCCCAAAATCACATTGCCTGATTTGATTGAATTAAAGTGAAAATGATATTAAAGGCATGGACAACTATTTATTCTCATCATATGTGTGGACCCCAAATAATACAAAGTCTTTAATCTTATCTCAGTCCCAATAGAGTACTAAAGACTTCAATAGATCATTAATTTTGGATTACAGACCTTTTAACAGGCATCCAGAAACTACATCTGGTGCTTTACTCAACCTGCTTGATAAATGACAGATTTCTACAGATAACATCTGTGTGGATCCCTGAGAGTATGCCACAAACAGAATGAAAGCATTCAGTGACTATAAAGTATATGTAGTAGGGTGTTTTGCCTATAGTATGCAACTTTGTATTAATGATGCTTTCTTAAAATAAATAAGTTAAATGCTTATGATTGACCAAGAAGTTTAGCAGCCATTAAATATTCTTCAGCTTCCAAGCACCACAATCTACAAATAGATGTGTATGTCAAAAAACCCCAGCTCTTCCAGGGCATAGCGAGAAGGTAGTATACTAAATACTTGATGAACAAATGGTTTTTGATAGCTTACTATGATGTGGAGCCAAAAATTGAGTTGCTAATTTGGCCACAGTAGAATTTAGTAGAACTATAATCCAAATTTTTTAGCCCCGTGAGAATTTAACCCAGGAGAGAGGTTTGAGAGATACTTGCACATACTTAATAGCCCTAGCTGTCAGACTTGATAGACTTTCTCAGCATGCCAGTACTAGATCAAGGTGTTGGGCCCATGGAAAAATATTTAACTTTTTTTTTTTTTTTTTTTGTAAGTGTTTTAGCAGTCAGATATCTGAAGAGGGATATAGTGTATCTGGTGTCAAAGAAGGTTCATGTTAACTTAATGGATTAAATTCTACCATGTGGGTAAGTGGGCCCTACTGAAGCCAAGAAGAGCTTTGTGCACATTTGTGAGAGCAGAATATGGCTAAAAGTGTATAATAATAAATCTTTTGAGCTTTGGTCTAGCCACTACCACTGATAGGTCTTCTCCATATGCAGATCAGGCAGAAAGATGGCCAGTTACTTTCTTTGTAGTCTTTGGATCATTGGCTGCTCTCCTTTTCTCCCACTCTCAATTTTTTCTCTTGTTTCACTAAGGAGAAGCAGCAAAGATGGCTTTTGGCTTTTAGTCCTATTTGGACTTTTTCTGTAGTGTGTTTGCCAGCTTTTCTTTTTCTTTCTTTCTGCCCTTTCAGCGGTAGGACTAAAATTTATGTATATTTTTGTGATTATACTGTTCAGGGTCATATCTTTTGGGTTCTCTTGCCAAATCTATAAGCAAGGAGGTGCTTCTGGGAATAGATGTAAGACATGGCTTACCTCTGCAATGCAGATACCCCCTCTGCACAAGAATGGGCTGAGGGGAATGGTGTGCCTGCCCACTACCCTGGTCCCCCATGCAGAAATGGATCCTCTATGTCAAAGGAGAATTTGAATGATGTTTTGGATTAGAACTCCCCTTGTGCTTTTCCCTTGCCAGAAGCAGGTAAGATAGACTTTCAAGCCCCCACGATGGCATCCTTGCTAAATGATTCTTTGATTGACATAGGTAGAAACCTTTGGAGAAGCCCCTCTAAAGAGTGCTTTGCAGGTTCCCATGGGTCCCTTTCATGTGTGTTCCTTATTTTCATGGAACTGTTTTCAGCCAAGCTTGGAAGTCCGCACTTCACCAAGCTCCTTCATAGACCTCTGCTGTGTGAGAGGTGCTATTATTTGATCCAGAGGTACAGCCTTCAGAATCACATAGGAAAGGAATGTTCAAGTCATGTCACATATCCCGTAAAGTTGTGCCAATAGTGGAAGTAGAAATGGAGACTGTGCTCTCTTCTCGAATGATTCCAAAAAGGAAAAGAGTATTCTTAACTGCAAATGATACAGGAGATAAATTCCTGAAGGGAGTCCCCAGGTACATCCCTGGCTAGGTCCATGAGCACTATGTTGGCTACAGAAATGTAGGAAGCCTGACTGTTATTGCTCTCTCTCCCTGTCCCTGCCCCATGAATGTCTCTGTAGCAGCATGGACCAAATCTTTCTCTGTTCCATTAGGGCCACTAACTTCCCAAAAGCTTGTTGCGGGGGGGGGGGGAAGAGTCAAGAAATGTCATCATTTGCCCCCTCCCCACAGTTATTATCCAAATGTTGGAAGTTGAGAAGTTTTGACCAGCTCTGTTTGGACAAAAATATAGAAGGGTCATTAGTATGTAGACTGCCTCCTCTACTTCCAGACCATGCATGGAATGGCTCTCCGCACAAGAATATTTCCTGTGTAGAAGCTCAGCTTCCCAAAGAATTCTGAAACTTCACTAATAATTTTCTGGTTGCTCTTGGGCACTTAGGGTTTGCTTATGCTCACAGCAAATGTTGGTTCCTCTGTCATAATGCAAGAGACCTCTCTAGCCACATCAGTGGTCAGTAAGAGCCTTAGCATGTACCCCACGGTCCATCCTTTCCAAATACACTTTCAGATATTGAGTTCCTTTCCTTCTAGCTATTTCAGCTGATTTGGGCTGCAATAAATGCTTCAGCTCCTCTGGATCACCATGTGTGGAATCCTGGGGCTACTGGATCTGTAAACACAATTCCTATGTTGTCTTCCCTGGCCTACCTTCCTGGTGCCTATTCTCTATTGGCTTATGTGGGTTGGCATGAAGATCCCCCTCCTAACCCCTCTCAGTGGGGGGTGGGGGTGGGGCGGAAGATTTTTCTTTTCATTTCTAAGATAGGCCCCTCTGGGCCAGGGTGTAGTAGGACAGAGGGCCCTTCACATTAGGGAGAATTTTACCTTTTTGAGACATTTGGAAGAATTTTATCTAACAGAGAGATTTGATATTAGAAAAGCTGAGTAAATAATCGTAATAGATGGAAGCATTATGGATTGGACTTGCCAAATATCTAAACTTAATATATTTGTAAAACTGTACTCAAATCACCTGACTTCGGAGCTTTGTAGGACTTCTTATGTTTATTTGAAAGTTATGCTTCAACATTTCCTAAACTGCTTTTGCCCAAGAGGTTTCAGAGTAGCAGCCGT